ATTGGGTTACTCAATCCACGACTGTTTGTGGGACATGTTAATGTGACACCTGCCCTGGACGCTGATGTGACAGAGCAGCTGAGCATTCAGCAGACATCCAGAAACGCACATCATCATTCCCACATCTACGTACAGAATCAACAGCTACCTCGCTCCGAATGTTTAATAGAATTTCCCCTTCTTCCCTCCCTCCTCCACTCACTAGCCCCCTCCCTTCCTCCCTCCCTCCCTCCCACCAATCAATCGCACAAACCCAGTTGTGTCAGGGTCATGAACACAAACACTGAGGCCCTATGTAATCTGAGTCTCTGTTAGAAATGATTGGAGATGAACAAGCTAATTGTTTCCTTTGCTAATAAATTCGCTTCGATATTATGTTTCCGGCCGTATTAATTCGGCTTATTTTAGTAATCATAGAAGCACAGTTTAAGCAATGAAACTTGCTCGCAACAGTGATCAAAGCCTGTGTTATGCAGGGGTAGGGCGAGGGGGAGGGCGAGGAAGGGAAGAGGGAGTGAGGAGGAGGGGGGAATACTGGCATCAGTAGCAATGCGGCAACAACCAGACCGGATTGTGATTGTTAATAAAAACGCTAACCTAATAATTCTTGCACTTGACAAAGCGCCTGTCACTTTCAAAGGTCTCATAGCGACCTGTCCACTCCCTCCGTTCAGTAGGCTTTGTTCTGCTCCATGTCCCCCACTCTGTCCGCCTACACCATCGGTGGTCAGGCCTTCAGCCTCTCTACCCCCATCTTTTGGAAATCCCACAGTCCTTTCAACTCACCTCTTCCCTTACCTCCTTTAAGGCCCATATCAGGACTTTCCTCTTCGACCTGCGCCTTCGGTCACCCTTCCACCTCTACCCTCTCTGCCCTCCACCTCTTCTGATCCCAACCCCTAGCTGGGGTACAAATCTTGACTGTCCAGCGCCTTGGGACATCCTCCCGATATGAAAGACGCTATACAAATGTAATTTGTTGTTTTGTTTCAATGTTTGCGGTACATCAGTGCGTACAAGTTTGGTTGTCGTGCCCCGCCCACAATCCACACAGTCACTGCACTTTGCGGGAGTAACTCTTAACTCCACTGCAAAGCTCTTTGAGATGTTTTGATGTGATGGTATCATGGGGTAACATCTCAAGAGCGCTTTTCAAGGAGATAGGGGGGACAAAGTGGGTGGATGTGGTTGAATGGGTCGAAAAAGGGCGAGACAGAGAGGTAGAGGTAGACGGAAGTTATGCGTGTTGAATTTAAAAAGCTGAGCCATTGATGGTAAGGCGCTGGTTCAAATGTAAGGATAATTATTGTTATTAATTTTTATTATTAGTGCAAAACAAGTCAGAGCTCGGAGCTAAGCTTTGCATGAGGGCACCTGGTGCAACGCTCCACAGCACAGAACACACGTGTTCCACATTAGCAGCGATTCACTTACAATAACATCATTGTGGAACTGCGAGAGTTATCCTCTCGAAGGCTCCTTGCTCTCCTGTTTGGAGGAGAACAGGTACTCGCTATCCATAACACTGAGCAGATGATCTGCTCCACTAATCCAGGCTCCTCATACACAGATCGCAGCTGGAGGCGGTGGTGGGGGGGGTTGGTGGCGGGGAGGGGAAGTTTGGAAAAAAAATGCTCCCTTCTTAACTCGGTGGAGACGAGATTTAAACGGAGGGCCCCATTCTGTGCCTCGATCAGGTAGATGTTAAAGATCTCATGTATTATTAATAATAATAATCCTTGCATTTGATATAGCGCCTTACCACGTCATTGAGACGACTCAAAGTCCTTCACAGAATATATCGTAGAGTGAATTGACTGTGTATTTTGTGGGCAGAGCCCATCAGCCAATTGTGCACGGTAGTGTCCCACAAACATGGACAGTCATGGATTTTGTGACCAAATTATTGTTATCTATTTATTTATTTTTTGGAGGTATTCTTACCCCCAGATAGCGATCCACTAATCGACCCTACTTACTGCTAGGTAAACAGAGGCGTGTGGAGTAAGTAAACTTGTCTAAGGTTTCGCCCCGCCTGGGAAAGTTTCGCCACTAATCGAAAAGGGAATGGAGTTTCTCTCTCCCAGTCTCCAGACTGGAAAACACCCACCCCCTCCCTCCCTCCCTCCCTCCCCAAACCCGTAAAATTGATCATTCACTTCATGGCTGTTTTTGTGTAGGATATTAGCTACCAGCAAACCACACAGCCTCTGTGAAGCGTTTTGAGGTGTCCACCTGACGTGAAAGGCGCTGCATCAAATGCAAGGATAGTCATGTCTATCAGTAACCTTTTATGCCTCACCCACAAATACACAGTCAATCCACTTTACAGTATATTCTGCGAAGTGCTCTGAGACACTTCAATGACATGATAAGGCGCTGTATCAAATGCAAGGGATGTTATTATTATTATTTTGTCTTTGACCTCCCATCAGTGATTACCTCTTAACGGAGGATGCGATTAAGCTTTTGATGTACATTAAGAAAAAGCAATTTATTTGATTACTAATTATTTATCTCCTAAAGTGGCTAAAAAAAAACCTGGGCTCAGGTATCGGAAGACAATGTCAAAGCTAAATGACGATGTCAGTGTCACTGTTGTTTCACCAACTTCCCTGTGTTGTCTTCAGTTTCCGTGACAACTAATTCACATCGTAGGAAACCTACGGACTCCCCCAGGGAGTCTCGTGCTCAATGGATTTACTGTAACGGAAAGAGATTTAGTATTAAATCTCCAAATTATCGTGCCAGAAGTCAATCGCTAGGAGTTTGCTGCTTTCTTCCATTGCCTTTAGATGTGCCTCTGTGGGACCTGCTCCCTTTGCCACAACAATTCTCAGGCCACTGATAACTTTCACCTTGTAAAGGGCGGGTGTCAACCTGGCGCAGTGGTAGCACTCTCACCTCCGATACAGAAGGTTGAGGGTTCAAGCCCCACTTCAGATCTTGGAATTACAGCTCAATACAGCGCTGGAGGTGTGTTGCATTATCGCAGGTGCCGTCCTTCGGATGAGAAGACGTTAAACTGAGGTCCGTTCTGCCTGTTCAGGTGGATGTTAAAATTCCCATGGTAGTGCTGGTATTTGAAAAGAGAAGGGATTTTCTCTCTCCCACTGGCCTGGCCAATAATCCCCAAAATAAAATGATTTGCTCACGACATGACTGCTCGTGAGACATTGTTGCATGCAAACTGGCTGCCGCATTTCACCCACAAAATACAGTCAGTCCATTCACTTTACAGTATATCCCGAGAAGCACTTTGATACATCTCGATGAGGTGCAAAGGAACTATTTGAAATGCAACAAATTATTATTGCTATTATTATACACAGTCACTACACTTGACAGCAATTACCCCTGAAACACTTATTTCACTGGAGCAGTATTAAATGCAGAGATAGAATCATTGTTATCGTGGGATTTCTCCACTAACTTATGCAATCAGATTGGACACAGTATAAAAGCTTCTAATAACACTAATCTTTGCAGTGGATACACAGTGAAGTTGACCCTGACTTAACTTGTCGCTGCCACTTCAGTCATCGTGCTTCAGTCACCAGCCCCATTTATTTATACATTTATTCTTATGCCTAACTCGCTGCTCCTGATAACTCATCACTGAGCCCTTTAGCCTTGGAGCGACGAGTTATCAAGAGTTTATGTTTGCTCCTTCTCACATCGTCGAGACTTCTCAAAGCGTTTCACAGGATACACTGTGGAGCGATTGTGTGTTTTGTGGGGGAAGTTAGCGTTAATTTGTTCTAACATATGCGCTGCAATAGATTACCAGCGTTGTGTCTTTTTTAAAAAAATGTTTTTGACTTATTCTGTGTTTGTGATACTGTATTTCATTCTCATCTCCTGTCTTGATTTTGTGGTGTCTGCCGCCGCCCAGTGGTGCCTACAAACCAGTGTACATTGGGCAACAGAGAACTGTCAAGAATTTTCAGTGAATTTACAGAAATATAATAATAACAATCCTTGAATTTGGTATAGCGTCTTATCATGTTGTTGAGATGTCTCAAAGCTTCACAGAATACAATACAGTTACTACTGTACTGCAGGTTATCAAAACAAGGAGGATCCCATAATTAATTAAAAATTAATGCATCAATGTTTTAATCGAGAAATGGGTCGGATTATGCCACAGTGTACAAAGCATTGGATTATTTGGTGCCTACCAATCAGTTCAACTCTGCCGCTCTTTCCCCATATTTTTATTCATTGAAATTCCCACAATTTACCACTTACACATATTAATCTGAACTAAATCTGTAAACCTTTTGACTTAGGATCTCAACAAGGTCTGCACTGCCCTCTACGAGGAATGTGCAGAACTGTTAGCTGTCTTCCACACCTCAACATCATTACCTGCTGAAGCACTCAATCACACTCCAACGCAGTGCGAGTGGGCAAAGCTGAATTGTCAGAGGCGCCATCCTTTGGATGAGACGTCAATAATACAGTCAATAATAATATTAATAATCCTTGCATTTCATATAACGCCTTATCACGTCTTCGAGACGTCTTGAAAGAGCTTCACAGAACATACTGTAAAGTGAATTGACTATATATCTTGTGGGCAAAACACGGCGGCCGATTGCACACAGCAGTGTCCCAAACAGTCGTGGGTTGAGTGGCCCAATTTATTTTATTTTTTTTGAAGGAATTATCAATTCGCTGTACAATATATTCTGGAAGCGCTTTGAGACGTCTCGAAGACGTGATAAGATGTGCAAGGAGTATGACGTATTATTATAGATATATACTCTGGATATATGCTGTGCATATATATATATATAGATATATAAATACTCTCTAAATGCTGTCGGGATGCACAATGTAACGTACACTGTATGAATACTCTCTGGACAGGTGATGAGATGTTTGGAGATCCAGAACGCCTTTTGTGCCCTTGTCTCTGCCCCTTCACGTGTGCGCGGACGGGCTGCCGTAGTGCGGCTGGGCTCGGCCCCGCCCCCCCCTCACCCACTGGCCCCGCCCCCTCCTTGCTGGTCGGGTCGCGTGCTGTTGACGGTTTAACGGTCGCGGCGCGAGCGGCCGTCGGAAGCCATGTCGCGGCTCATCGTCAAGAACCTGCCGAGCGGGGTACGTGCGTGTGAGAGAGGCGCCGGGCACCGCGTTACACACAGCCTGTCCTCCCGCCGAGGAGTAGGAGAGGGGGCGGAGCGGCGGCGCTTTCCTCCTTTCCCCCCGGCCCTCGGTTCCCTCAATCCCCGGCTTCACGTGGGCTCGATGGCCGGGAAAGGCCGAGGCTTCATTAGGCCGAGGTTCACCCTCACCCACTCAGCGTCTGTCCTTTTCTCCCCTCCCCACCCCCTCCCCTTCTCCCTCTCCTCTCCGTGGTGGCCGCACGTGCCAGGGCCGGGCTGGGCCTCTCCCCCCGACCCACCGCGTGTCCGCCAGCCCCGGGGGAGCGCTCGCAGTCTGGACGTGTGTGGATGGATGTACGTGTGCGTACGTGCGCGTGTATGTGTGTACGTGCGTGTGCGCGGTGCGTGTGCATGTGTCTGTAGTTACAATCATCATCATCATCATCATAATAATCTTTGCATTTGATATAGCTCCCCATCATGACGTTGAGACGTCTCAAAAGCGTTTCACAGGATGTGTTGTGAAGTGACCGCGGAGCCGTGTCCGTCCGGACCTCTCGTCTTCCCTTCTCCCCGTTAAGTTATTCTCGTTAATTGCAGCAAACGATCCTCGCATTCGATGCGGCACCTGGCGTCGTCAGGGTTCCCCCTCGAGGTGCTCTGCAGCCAAGGCTGCAAAGCGCGGAACCCAAACCGTAAATGCTGTGATGGTTTCTTGCTTCAACCACGGCTTCCATCCATCCGGCTTCGAGCTCCACATTTCTCGCCAGCCTCTACAAACCTTGTCGGACCATCTTGCTGAGCCAGGCAGCAAGATAATTCTGCTTTCCCACACTCAATTGCTGCACTGCTGGAACACCTTTGGGAAAGTACTGAAATAAATTTTAAAAAAAGTCCGACACCTTAATGTGGAGGAGAGATAATTTGGTGGGGGTGGGGGACTAAATGGCAGCATTGTGAAAACCAATGGCCAATTTTTATCTTGGAGAATGGTTGGCTTCTGCATTCCCATTGTAGGTGCTCAAGGGAATACCTGTCTTCCTTTTAACAGTTGTATGTGGATTGTACTTAAGAAATCTGCATCACCAAAGACCTGATGCTGTTAACTAGCCAGTACAAGCTGTCCATTCAGAATTCCTTCTGCTTTTTGTTTAATAATTGAGCATTCAGCCAATCAATTGAGTATAATCATAGCCTACAATATATGTTATTTTTGTAACAAAAGCAGAAAGAGCTGGGAAAACACAGCAGGTTAGGCAGCATCTATAGACAAAGGAAAGTGAGTCAACATTTCGGGTCCACGATCCTTCGTCAAATGTTATATTTGTGATTGGTCCCTGTGCTTGCATGACTGGCTATGCATTCTGGAATATGTCAAATGCAAGGATTATTATTTTTATCTGTTGAACTTTGGATAGTGTATTTTGCGTAAAATGAGCCCTAATTTGAGCATAGAGTTGTACCACTTGAATTGAACCATGATTGTTTATTTGCTAATATTTCAGATGAAAGAAGAGCGTTTTAAAGGTCTATTTGCTGCCTTTGGAACATTAACTGACTGCATCCTGAAGTTCACAAAGGATGGGAAGTTTCGAAAATTTGGGTTTGTTGGCTTCAAAAGTGAAGAGGAAGCACAAGCTGCCTTTAAACACTTCAATAAGAGTTACATAGACACTACCAGAATAATTGTAAGTATTACTGTGTGCTATTGACCATTGGTAGTTGATAATTCACCCATTGGACTGCTGGTACTGCATAATTTAGTGTCGGCTTTTCTCTGATCTACAATGTTTCTCTCTCTCCGTCAATCTCTCTCTCCGTCAATCTCTCTCTCCGTCCCTCTCGTCTTCTATCCCCACTTGACCCTCCCACAACCTCCCTCTGTTCCAGTCTGGGAATCCTCCGCCGGGCTCACCGCGGCACTCGGCGTTGGCTGTCCAGCAGCAGCCACACCGACTGCCCCATTCCCCACCACACTCGCCAGCCACCCCGGACACAGACCCGGGGAGTCAACCTCTCCTCCCTCATCCCCATCCCCCCACCCCTGCCTCACAACCTGGACCCCCCTCCCCTCCCACACACCCTTCTGTCAACCGCTCCCTCCACATCGGACTGCAAAATGTCCGCTCCCTCTGCAACAAGGCCCTGGTCATCAACGATCTCATCCTTGATGAGAACGTTGATATCATGGCCTTGACAGAAACGTGGCTCACCCCAGGCGACACCTTCCCCCTCACGGAGGCCACGCCACCCGGCTACACCTCCCACCACATCCCCCGCCCCAACCGCCGTGGCGGTGGTGTTGCCCTTATCTCAAGGACACCACTTGCCCTATCCCCCTACTCCACTGGCTCTTTCCCCTCCTTTGAGCACCTCACCCTCTCCCACCCCTCATTCCTCTCCCTTAAAATCCTCCTCCTCTACCGGCCCCCTAAAACCTCTCCCACCTTCATCTCTGACATTTCAACACTCCTCACATCTCTTTGCCTCTGCTCCGATCGCCTCATCATCCTGGGCGACTTTAACCTACACTTCACCCCCTCCTGCTCCATCTCCACAGACTTCTCTTCCCTGCTCTCCTCACTCAACCTCTCCCTACACATAAACTCCCCCACTCACAGTCACGGCCACCCACTCGATTTGGTGATCACCCGGGGCCTCAGTGTCTCGGATGTCACTATTACCGACAAGGCCATCTCTGACCACCACTTCATCTCCTTCACCACCTCCACACCCCTCCCCACCTCCACCAGACCCACCACCATCTTCTACCGCCCTTGGAAGAAGTTACCCCCACAATCCCTAACCGATGCCTTGGAGTCCTCTGAACTCCTCTCCCTCTGGCCTTCAACCCTCACCGACCCCTCTTCTCCTCTCTCCCTCCTCCACAATACCCTCTCCTCCACACTCGATACTCTTGCCCCCATCACTTCCCGCACTGTCTCCTACTCCCGCTCCTCCCCCTGGTACACCACCCACCTCCGCTCACTGAAAAGCCAGGTGCGGGCTGCTGAACGCACCTGTGTCAAATCTGGCCTAACGGTCCACCGACAAATCTGGCTGGACCTCCTCAAAATTTACCGCTCCACTCTAGCCTCGGCCAAGTCGTCCTTCTACTCCAGGATAATCCTGGAGGCGAAGAACAACCCCAGGCTACTGTTTTCCACCACAACCCGACTCCTCCGTCCCCCCCGCCACCCCGCGCAGGTCATCTCCTCCAACCTTCACTGCGAGGAGATGCTGGATTTCCTTGAATCCAAGATCAAGGGAATCCGCTCCGCGGTCACTTCCCCTCCAACTTCCACCCACCACCCACCCCTTCCCTCCCACACTCCGACTCCTACCCATCCTCCCCTACACACCTTCGTACCCGTTTCCCCACCCTCTGTCACTGAACTCATCCTATCCCTAAAACCAACCACCTGCTCCCTTGACCCCATCCCCACTCCACTCCTTATCTCCCAGCTCCACTTTCTTGCCCCACATATCACTGACATCATCAACCTGTCCCTCTCCTCTGGCTCTGTCCCCATTCCATTAAAAACTGCCATCATCACGCCCACCCTGAAAAAACCCTCCCTTGATGCGTCGCAGCTATCAAGCTACCGGCCCATCTCCAACCTCCCCTTTCTCTCCAAGGTCTTGGAAAGAGTTGTCGCCTCCCAACTGCGCTCTTTCCTTTCCACCCATTCTCTTTTTGAACCCCTTCAGTCAGGTTTCCGTGCTGCCCATAGCACAGAAACTGCCCTGGTCAAGGTCACCAATGATATCCTGACCATCTGTGACCAGGGCTCCCTCTGTCTCCTCGTCCTCCTCGACCTATCGGCAGCATTCGATACGGTCGACCACGCTATCCTACTCCACCGCTTGTCCTCCCACCTCAACCTTCAAGGCACTGTCCTTGAATGGTTTAGGTCGTACCTTTCTCACCGTCTTCACTTTGTCTCAACGAATGGCTTCTCCTCCACCCCCCGTACTGTCTCATGTGGTGTCCCTCAGGGCTCTGTCCTCGGTCCCCTCCTCTTCACCCTCTATATGCTCCCCCTCGGTGACATCATCCGCAGACATGGGTTAACTTCCACATGTATGCGGATGACACCCAACTCTACCTTTCCTCCTCTACTCTCAACTCCACGACCACCGATGTCCTGACAGCTGCCTGTCCGACATCGAGTCCTGGACGAGAGACAACTTTCTTCAGCTCAACGTGCGAAAAACCGAGGCCCTCCTGATTGGCTCACGTCAGCGCCTCCGCACCTCAGGCGCTGACACCATCAGCATCCAAGGCTGCACTCTCCACCTCTCAAAGCCAGTCAGGAACCTCGGCGTTTTGTTCGACCCTGAGCTGTCCTTTCTCCCTCACATCCGCACCACAACTGGCACCGCCTTCCATCACCTCCGGAACATCGCCAGACTACGGCACTACCTCACCCCTCACGCTGCTGAAACCCTGGTCCACGCCTTTGTCACCTCAAGGCTGGACTATGGGAACTCTCTCCTCGCCGGCCTTCCCGCCACCTCCCTCCACAAGCTGCAGGTCATTCAGAACTCTGCAGCTCGTGTACTGTCCCGCACCAGGCTTCGGGACCACATCACTCCCACCCTCGCTCGCCTCCACTGGCTCCCCATCCCCCAGAGGATTGATTTCAAGATCCTCATCCTCACCTACAAGGCCATTCACGGCCTTGCTCCCTCCTACCTCTCCAACCTACTATCCCCCTACCTACCTGCCCGTACCCTCCGTTCCTCTGGCTCCGGTCTGCTCCACGTCCCCCGCCCCAACCGCCCTACCATCGGTGGTCGGGCCTTCAGCCTCTCAGCCCCAGGCTCTGGAACTCCATCCCCCAGTGCCTTCGCCTTGCTTCCTCCCTTTCCTCCTTCAAGGCCGGTCTCAAAACCTTTCTCTTTGACCGTGCCTTCAGCTCCCCTCTCGACTCTCTTCCCCCTCCTCGCTCCCTCCCTTCCCTCCCCTCACCCTGACCATTTCCCCCTCCTTGCTCCCTCCCTTCCCTCACCCTGACCATTTCCCCCCTCCTCGCTCCCTCCCTTCCCTCCCCTCACCCTGACCATTTCCCCCCTGCTCGGGTCATGACCCAACTGTGCAGCGCCTTGGGACGTCCTCCTGACGTGAAAGGCGCTTTATAAATGGAATCTTGTTGTTGTTGTTGTTGTTGTTTGTGTTTCATTTTAAAGATAATATCAGTTTTTAAAACACAATTATCCCATTTGAAGGCAGAGCTAAGTGGGTGAATCAGGTGAAGAACTCCTGCTAGGAGGTCTATTGGATTGTGAATCATGTTAGCAAACAGTGTCCCAGTTGTTTAATTGCTAACCAGTAGCACATGTCCACTGATAATTTGCTCCTCCATTGAATTGAACTGTTATTTTAGACATTGCAAATCTGCATTTCTGCTCTCAAATGCTCTGTAGTATTCAGTCTTTATAAATTTATTATCCATGCGAGCGGAATCTATTGCTTTAACCTACAGCCAGTACTGATGGGCATGTGATACATTCTAGGTGGAATTTTGCAAATCATTTGGAGATCCAGAATTGGCAAAACCATGGAGTAAACATTCCCAGAAAAATACAACTGGACAACTGACAGAAACATCAAAGCAGCAAAGATCTGAAATTGAGACAACAAAGGTAAATTGCTTCTTTTAAAATTTCAACTCACAATGAATACTGTAGGAATATAACATTTGGAGCAAATAACTTAGATTTAAATTAATTTATTAATAAGTGCTCATCTTTAAATTTCATTTGATATGTGCATAATAAGTTTTAAGTTCTGTAGAAAATATATTAACATCTACTGCCAGAATCTGAGAACTGTAAAGCATCTTGGTCTGAATTTTTTAAAAAGAAAAATCACCTTAGAACCCGATGAAAGTGGGTCATGCATGATGAACCGTAAAACCAGAGATCACGGCCTGCATTCGAAGGGGGGTAAATTCAGAACAAATCTGCGGAAAACACTACTTCAGTGAGTGAGTAGTAAACTTATGGAACAGGCTTCCTGGGGAGACAGTGGAAGCAGAAAGTGATTGTTTCAAGCACAAATTAGATAGATTTCTTCTAGAAAACAATATCTTGGGATATAGTGTATAGTTCGGGACACATGTCAAGCGACTGCCAGGATGGTTGAAGGTGAACTAGATGGACCTTGGTCTTCTCTCACCTAGCAAATTCTTCTGTTTTTATACCAAAAAAAACTCCTTTTATACTCCTGTGAAAAATATGTAAAGGGAGAATGCAATTAAAACTTTCACATTTATGCTTGCAGGATAAAATGAAGTTAGTCACTAAGGACTTGAAAGAGGTGAGTAAAAATCTGAACTTTCTTTGGTTGAATACATTTATTTGTGCTTTTCACTTTGTGTTATTGGATACAAATGTAATGTGCTATAACAATGAATTGGTCACCTTATAGCTGAAAGAAGATGAAGGGTTTCAGGAATTTTTGGCTGTAAACCAGAGTCGTTGCAATGTACCAACCTGGGCTAATGACACTTTACCAGCAAAGACAAAGAAAGAAAAGACAAAGAAAGTGGATGATTATCTAAACTTTGATTCAGACGACTCTGAAGAATTGAGTGAAGAGGAAGAAGAGAGTGAGAAAGAATCTGAAGATATCAGCAAAGCAGAAGGTGAATACCTTTACTTTAGATTTTTTTTCCCCTCACTATTAGGTTTTGTAGTTTTTCTTTAAACTGATCTATGAAATACATTCTTTGTGATCATTTTTTTCTGATGATTATGTGAGGACGTGGATGGGGCTATATAAATCCAAGTTGTTGTTGATAAATATTATTGATTTAGGAATGCAACCGCTAAAGTTGCTGACTTGTGCCTTTAAGTGGTTGATCACATTACTAACTAGATTTCAAACCCAAATCCTAGTCTTCCTAATGCTTCAATCATATTCCAACTTATGGACCTACAAGCAATGGAAATTTAAATACATCTGGCTAATTTTGCATTTGGTTCTAACCGTTTGAGAGCACCAGTTAAAGCCTTCAGATAATTCTTTTGTTATGAAACAATATAATGAACGTGCAAGTAAGTCCTCAATTTTTAATTTTCTTGTGGTTTAATTTTCAGACAAAGCAAAAAAGACACAAGAAAATGTTGCCTTGAAAAAGGAGCTGTCTGATATGGACTACTTAAAGTCAAAAGTAATTGCAGCTGAAAATGAGATGTCTGAAGACAGTGACAAATCTGAGACCAGTGACAGTGCAGAAAATAAGAAGATTGCCAGTGGAAAAAATGTACCATTGACTCCTGAAAGGGACTCTGAGAGTGAAGAGAACAGAAAACAGGAGAACAGCAAGCAAGAGAAATCCACTCCAACTCGGGGACAGAATAAAAGCCTGGAGGTTAGTTTGTTTTTCCTTTGAACGTTGATTGTGTTTCTGCTTGCTATCAATTTAAAAGAAAGCATTTCTTTTTGAGTATTGGGGTCATTAATATTGCAATAGTTTATAATCGTATGCTTGTCAGTTTTACATCACTTACCATGACTGAGCCAGCTGGCCTCTATAGGGGTTTGTTAAAAGTGTGGTTTGAGTAGTCTGGTACAGTACTTAATGATATTCCTTGTTTCTGATCTGATCTATGTTTTATCGTTATTCTGCAGAAGAAACCCCCCCAAAATGAACCCACGACTCCGTACACTGTTAAGCTTCGAGGAGCTCCATTCAATGTGAAAGAGGTATTTGCAAAGGCCATTTACAGCCTGCACTTAGTTTTTGCTGACTTTTTGAGGGCCCTTATTGACTGAGAAATGGCTGCAAAACAATACCCATGATTGTGAATTCTAGTTTGCTAATGTAGCAGTTTAAATCATGGTATCACTGATGTAAAATGGCTGAATTAATGTGAGTAAATGTGTACAGCAAAGGCTGGCGCTAATTGCCTTTGTTTAAATTATAAAATACAGTACTGCATTTTATAGCAGAGCTCTTCCAGCCCTGCTTCCAACTTTTTTTTACAGTGCTTGAACCATTTTATAATTTTTTTTATGAACCATTTGCTTTGAATAGCATGTTAAAATGTACTTGTGTGATTATTTTAAGAAAAATGCCGTCATACAAATGGGAGATTACAAAATATAGATTAAATTGAATGCTTCCAAAAAACGAAGCATGCATATAGGAGTCATAGAATGGCACAACATGTTAATTGTTTTATATAAGGAAATGAGACCAAGCATATGATCAATATTTTCCAGCTATTTGTAGAGGTTTAAGATCAATCTTGTTTTGAATTGAGGTTCTGTTATTCTTGCTTTGAATTATCTTAACTTATTTACTTTTTCTTGACCAATAATGTAAGAACGTTTAATATTTATTTACATAATATCGTTAAACATGTCTCCAACAGCTGTTTCTTTATATCTATCATTTAACTTTGGGGAAACCAATTCAAGCTCAAAAACACAAATGAAGCCCTTCTGTATTTAAGATAATTTTTCATGTATGTTCATGTCTGTAAAAAAAAATCTCTCTACAGAAACGAGTAATGGAATTCTTTGTTCCTGTGAAACCTGTAGCTATCCGAATTGTCAAAAACGCAAATGGTAACACAACAGGTTTGTACCAATTTCTTTATTTTGGGGGAATGGCAGATTTGATATCTGTCAGATAATCTAAACATTAAGCTTTGAAGTATCAAGTTGCATTTATTTGAATCATAATTGTGTAATAGTAAATTAATTTTGAAGAAATATTCATGTTACATAACCAGTGGAGTATGTTGATTACACATTACTTAGGAATTGAAACCCTCTGACTTATCAATGATTAAATATTGATTCTAGAATCATAGAATCTTATAGGACAGAAGGAGGCCATTTGGTCCATTGTGCCTGAACTGTCTCTGAAAGAGCTACCAACTAGTCCCACTCGCCCGCTCTTAAACCCATAGACCTGCAAAATTTTCCTTTTTAGGTACCTATTCAATTACATTTTGAAAGCTATTATCGAATCTGCTTCCACCAACTTTCAGGCACGGCATTCCAGACTGTAACAACTGTACGGGTTTTAAAAAAAATTCTCCTCGTTTTGCCTCTTATTATCTTGAGTACTTTTATATCTTTCATTGTTTTCATGGCAGAAAGGTTCTTGCAATCAAATACCCATCTCTCTTTCAGGTTATGTGTTTGTAGATTTTCAATCCGAGGAAGATCTCAAAGAGGCTTTGAAAAGAAATAAAGACTACATGGGTAAGGGATTTTGTGGAGCAGTAATGGCGAATTTACACAATATTCCAGAGGTACTAAACTCCTGAATTTTTGTTGAGTAGAACCAAGGTTGATTGACTTTTCAGGTGACTGTTTTCTTTTGTTTTTCAAGGTGGAAGATACATTGAACTTTTTAGAGAGAATGGTGCTCAGAAACCTAAACTGGGTAGAAAAGATAAAGATCGACCATGGCTGAAACGAGAAATGAAAGCTGATGAGGAAGAAGAGGATATTGCTGATTCAGGAAGATTATTTGTACGAAACTTGCCTTACACTTGTACAGAAGAGGACTTGGAGAAAATATTTTCTAAAACTGGTATGTGCCTAATCTTCATACTATGATTTTGATGCCACATTTTTCTCTGTTACGAAGAGGTAGTAATTTGAACAAAGTATTCTCTCTTGACTTCCTATCTTCAGTTACTCTAGTGCATAAATTTAGAAATTGGTGGAAGAGAATAAATGGTAAGTCTGTACATGGATGCTACGTTATTTTAAAATTCATTTGGTCTTCACAAAATCATACCAGCAAATATAAGATTTATCTGGCCTCCTGCTCTGTTTCTGTACTGCTAAGCGCAGAGGGGCCTTGGCTTCAGTAAATGTACCTGAATCATGTTTCACTCAAGCTCTAAAAGTCGTCTGATAAGTTCCTCAAATTCTTTTGAAAATGGGTAACTGTAATCCTGTGTTGATCTTTATGTAAGAAGCAATGTGCCACCTCAGTAACTTTAATTATACCTGCCCTGGAGACACAAGTTAATCATGAATGTAATTGTGGGCCTATCAAGGTTTGTCCCTGAAGGACATGCTGCCCAGGAAATTAAGAAATTTACTGGTGGGCAACTAACCCAGATCAAAAGTATCAATGGTGGTGGATAAGTCAGGGTGCTGCCCTGTTTTTGATGCATTTTTCAAACAAGCTCTTTAATTTTGCAGTTTGCTGGTGGAAGTAGCAGGAGAAGCACGAGTATTGCAATTCTAATAAGTTCTGATTAAAGCATACTGCTCCTTTAAAGTAGGATGCATCATAAAAGTGAGGCAATCACATGCTGCATTATCTGCTCAACCTAGAATATGGAAATGTTTAGAACCCTTTGCCCTGCTTAAATAAAGGCCCATCTGCAGCTGAAAGTTAATTTAAAAATATTTTGTACATGTGCTTGTGGTGGTATGATCAGGAGAGCTTGCATGGTATGAGCCATTGAGCTTGTGTGTGGAATTTCTATGTGTAATTGAAATATTATTGCTATAGAACTTCTAACTATGTTCCTCCTAGGCAGTCCTTAAGTGCTCTGGGACCCGACCCTGCGTGAGGGGCGCTGTATAAATGCAAGTTGTTGTCATCGTCTGGAGGAGCTAGCTCATTGTCGCTCAAAAAGTTTATACAAGAATCTTTCTCTCTTTCTCCCCCCCTCATCAATAGTTATGAAATGGTCATTCTTGTGCCTATTAATTTGTTACAAAAATACTGCTTAGATTATATTTAACTGATATTAAAACAATTTAAAGTCTGAATAGACTGTGCTTTGTTAAAGACAATATATTCTCTCTTCTCAACAACGAGGCAGCTTTCCAACAATCAATTTTAAGTAACTTTTAAAAAAAGTAAAGTTGGCCTTAGATCAGAGTAAACTTGATTGCAATGATATTAGATCCTCCTCGATGAACACAGAAGTTGGAATGGTCATAGTTTATAAACAAGTGATATTTTATGTTATGATCAGAAGGTTGACAGTAAAGGTGCAATTTGAAAAAGAAATATTGTTTGACTCTTTCATGACTAATGAGGTACAGTTTGCTTTTTGTCTTTTTATAAAATTAAAGTGCTTTCAAAGGGGGCATTAATTGTGGCTTATTAAAATTAGTCAGTATCAATATAACTAATGCTTGTGTACTGCTGATGCTGTCAAACTACATTGCACACACTGTGTATCAGTTACATGCCAGATTTGTATGAATGCATTCTATCGGAGGGCATCCAGGGTATTAACTTTTGCCTCCAACTTACAAGAGTTGATGTGCTTGGCATACAGTGCTTTACATTTATTTAATTAATAATAAAATACAAATAAAGTTTTGCACCTGGTTCCTGATTTTCAAGTTCTGAGTTGGGACCTGAAATCTAGAATCATTTTAGACAACTTGTAACTGATTTTACTTTTGCTGTATTGCAGGTGTATCTGTTGCCCTGAAATTAAATTTTTAAAATAATGGTTAACTTTGGTTAATCAAATGCTTATTATATTACCTGTCTAATATTGGTGATTGTAGACATATTTACATTTTGGAAATAATTGCAAATGATTTTTGATAACCAAACATGAGGAGTGAGACTGAAAGCATAAAAAGCAGCTAATTGTCTTAACATTAATGTTTGATTTTTGTTTTTTTTTGTCTACGATCAGGTCCAATAGCGGAGATTCACTTCCCCATAGACAGTCTAACCAAGAGGCCAAAGGGCTTTGCCTTTGTCACCTATATGATTCCAGAACATGCTGTTAAAGCCTTGGCAGAAATAGATGGTGAAGTGTTTCAGGTAAAGTTGCAATAATTCTTGTAGTTTTGAAAGAGAGAAAAACTTATTTTGTAGAAAATGAAATTGTATTTTAAGAGCAGCTGCAGAACTTCAGGGGTTGAAAGGATGTTACTTGAATGCAGTACTCATTTGTATATGTAACTAATCTAAATTGCCAGAGGGTGGCAGACAGTGGCTACTCCAGTGCTAACCTTCTGAGAATTGTAGTGCATTCATGGAAAATGATTGTTATGCATTTATTTAAAAGGTTATTTTAAGAATAATCTAAACTAAGGAATAATAATCCGTCCAAAACAAAAAACAATAATAAATTGGTCACTTCAAACCTGTTTGTGGGACACTGCTGTGCGCAATTGACTGCCGCATTTCGCCTACAAATATACGGTCAATTCACTTTACAGCATATTCTGTGAAGTATTTCGAGACATCTAGAAGATGTGAAAAGCGTTATATCTAATGCAAGGATTATTATTACTTTGTTTTTTTACATTTACTCTGTAATAAACATTTAATTTTGATAACCCAAATTCATTGCTGTGGTTGTCATATGATAGACTTCATGATTCATACTACTTACATATTGATTCATTCCAACCTGAAAATCTAAAATTGATTTCCTATCTCTGTGACCTGCTAACACCATATCGACCTGTCCGCTCCCTGCTCAGCAGGCTCCGACATGCTCCACTTCGCCTGCTCGGCCCGCCCCACCATCGGTGGTCAGGCCTTCAGCCTTTCTTCCCCCACCCTTTCTGTCCCACCCTTTGGAACTCCATTCCACAATCCCTTCACCTTGCTCCAGCCCTTGCCTCCTTCAAGGCACTTCTCAAGACCCTCCTCTTTGACCGTGCCTTCGGTCACCCTCTTACTACTAACCTCCCTGCCCTGATCCCAACATCACTTTAGAGGAGAGTGAGCTTGCAAACATTATGTAAAGTTAATATAGAAATAATGAATTAATCTTAAAATAGATTGGACTTGTCACAGAGAAATTCTCTTTTAGGGCAGAATGCTGCACATTTTACCATCTACTGTGAAAAGGGAAAAGATTGAAAATGATAAAGATACACCGGGTTCCTCCTCTTACAAGAGAAACAAAGAAGCTAAAGACAAGGCCAACAGCAACAGGTTAAGTTTATGCATTGTAATGATAATTGTCAAAATTAATGTCAACTCAAAAGTATTATTAAATGTTAAGTTTATTCCTTAGCATACAAAAATTATGTTTCAAACACTCGTTGCACCATTCCCCCCCTTTCTCATTTGCTGTTGCTGTGCTATTCACCAATCAGTTAATAATTATAAATGGTACCAATGCTTTTCTGTAATAGCATTGTCTAATAGAAATTTCACTTTCGTGTTTGACAATCGCCATGCATGCGTTTTTCCATGCATGGGTGCCTTTTTTGCAGACTGCATGCTATATTTTGCCAGAGATTGACACTTCTAATTTTGTCTTTTGGCACTTTTCATATGTTCTAGTGGGATTGTACAGTTCAACAACTAAAAATCACTAATCAACTGGAATTCTGCTATATATATGTATAGATTTTAAACTGGTGCTAAAAGTTAATTTCATGGCATTTTTGTTAAGACTGCTGTACCATGTCAAATACTGTTGATCTGTAAAGTGGAACATGGATCAGAATAACCAACAGCTAATATAGTGTTGCAGCAGTGGGTTTGGTAATATTGCAAAATTAAACAGCTTCACTCTATATTCATGTTTAAATATTAGTCTTTTGATGCTGATTTTAACATCACAGCGGTTGGTCTGTTGATCTGTTACAACTTCTACATGTCAGTAAGGATTCATGTCAGTTACAACCTGATTCTTGCTCTGTTCCAAATTATTGATAAATGAGGTGGGAGGTGAGCCTAATAAAATATTGCTGTGGTCTGGTATTGTGCTTTTCGGGGGAAAAAGAGATCTATAATATGGATGTGTGAAGGTTCAATTTTGGTTCTAGTCAAGTATTTATTATTTTATTAATTTATTATTATAATTACTAATTCCATAGACTAGTTTTCTGAACAAATAATTTTAAGTAATGGTTCCTTGTTGATTACTTGAAGTAGAAAATGCGAGCCTTTGAATGTATGCACTGAACATCTAAATTAAGGAAAGTTCTGTAGTTAATGTGAAGTTTGTATTAAAATGTAGATCATAACCTTCTACTTAAGCCATAAATAGTGACTTTCCAGTTGAATAAACATTTGGGCGTTTAGCAATTGCAAAGCTCCTTTTTAATTCATTTTTTCTCTACATTTTTAATCTGTAGTAATGTAAAGTAACGGGAAACTAATATGTTTAATGGAGTTATAATTTATATTCTGTATATGTTCCTTTTGTATTTTTCAGCTCACACAACTGGAACACACTATTCATGGGGACGAATGCTGTAGCTGATGTCATAGCAGCAAAATATAACGCCACAAAGAGCGAAGTGCTAGATCATGTGAGTTTTCTATTTGAATAGTACAGATAGTTTGAAATCGCAGTACACGTGGTTTATATTAACATGATATTAAACAATAAAATCGTTCACTAAAAATTGTCACAAACTGGGAATTTGAGGATTTGCATGGGTCATTATTTCTTAGTCTAAACTGTTTCTCTCTTGGATAAAAAATACTGTGCTTCTGTTGCCTGGTCTATTTCTTTGCATTCTAAAGAAAACATTTAATACCTGCTTCTTTTGTTATACTGTACTGTAATTGAATAATAATTCCTCAGTTTTTTTATCGGTTAATGCTTTCTTGACGTGGATTTTAGGATTCACTGGCAGAAGACCAATAGAATTGTAAATAAACGATAAACCATTTTTATCATATTACTTGCATTTTATTTTTGGTAATATTTACCACATAACTAAGTCAGCATTGACTTCTGAAGGTTCTGGTTGTGAAGCTTACTTTCCAGTCACTAAGTTGGTGTGATTCCTAATCCCTTAGCCCACCATTTGCAATTAAACTTAATTTTTCTGCTGGATACAATTCCTATACTCGTTTGTCTAGCCATGCAGCTTCCGGCTAGTGCCAATGAAATCTTTTCACTGAACTAATTGAAGAAACAAGTAGATTCTGTAACTGGAGACGGTAAGGTTGATATTCTGAAAGGATAAGATTAAATGGTCCGAAGAGACTCCCTCTGCACCGCTCTTGTGAATGTACCATAACTAATCTGGTCTAATTAGATCTATTGAGGGGATGTGCTCTCCACTTTTACTGTGGAACTAGTTTGAGATTTTTATAGAATCAATTCTACCACTATTTTAATCAATAATATGCACTTTTTCAGTGGTGTGCTGTTTTGGAATCCAATAGGTTATTTCAACATTAGTTCAGGTGATGAGCCACACCACGTATTGCTGTATTTTAAATTTTCCAGTCATTAGAAGGAATGACTGAAGTTTCCGGATCGTTGCCTTTACCATTTAGCATATTTAATGCAATATGTAAGACAGTTACAATGTCTAACCACTCTACTAATAAGGTAGTCCGGCTAATCTTGGAGGAGAAGCAAAATTTGCCTTGCACATTTTAGCCGCCTGAAACTAATTTTCCTTTCAGTGTCTTAAATTCCATGTCACCCTGCTGATTTATTAATGTGCCACACAGAATTATATGAGGATCTCAAAATCCAAGTACTGCATACCTCCTAATATTGAATTATGGAAAACTCCTTCATTCACAATTTATAAACCTTTTAATCTGTCAACAAGCTGGGTGATCTACGCATGCCTGCAAACTTGCTATCCAAATTTTCCAATTCTTTATATCATTTGTATATACGAGATGGTTGACTTGAGATATTGGTGACTTAAATATGACTTCATTCAATGTCAAACTGTTGTTACCAAATTTAATTTGTAAAGATCATTGTTCGCATTGAAGATTATTTTTAAGGTGATTTTGCACAGCACATTGTAAACTGTTGAGTGTCACTAGCGTGTGCAGTGAGCAACTGAAGCTCAACAGCAACAACTATGCATTGAATTTATTTGAATCTAATTTAATTCTTGTTCTATATGCAGAACATTGTTACACTGAGAGACATTCTGGCACACGCTGGGAATACCTTCTTGAATGTTACGTTGTTCATTCCAAAAAAAGGGTAAAGATTGTGTCGGTCAGGATGTAGCATAAAAAGCTATTGTGGGAATTCAATTGTCATTTACTTAAATGGGATAGTGTTATTAAATAAAAAGTTGCTCAGCACATTAAAACTGTTGATCATGAAAATTATTATAGTTTGGTTTCTCAAAAAAAGCCCACAACATTATGTGTGGCTAAAGTTCTGTGTGTTGCTATTCCTTTTGCTTTATCTGAAAATGATCTCTGCTGCATTTTGTCAATTATCTTGATTCAAGGGCCAAACAAAAATTATTTGTTGCAATATTATGAAAAACTGGGGCGAAAAAAGCTTTTATCCTTCCGAAGGAGACTGGAGCTTCTCTGGGACTCCTAAACAGTTTAAAGACAAAACTAAAGTGATTGCTGGCTGATTTGGCTATATTATTAGAATATCCATTTAACAAACTGTTTGACCCACAAAATATACAGTCAGTTCACTTTACAGTATATTCTGTGAAGCGTCTTGAGAAGTCTCAAAGACGTAATAAGGCGTTCTATCAAATGCAAGGATTATTATGAAAAGCTCTTACTCTCAGTAGAAAACAATTGTGGAGATCCCAATTTGATGGAGAGGCAGTCATTATAAATACAGAAGAGCTACTATTCAGTTACGTGTTGAACAATTTAGCTAGGGACCCCATGCTGTTTACAGAAAACCTTATGATCTGGTAGCCTGAGAGGCTTTTTTAGATATGAAATGCAGGATTTTTTTTAGAAAAAGGCAATTTCTTTAATCCTCTTTGCATATAATTTGGATTTGACTATTGTTTTTTAAATTAGTTCATTAGTTTCTTCCCTTTTTGTGGTCACTATGCATTATCCTTGGCCTAGAGGACAGGCAGTCAGTGCTGATCTGTGACTAGCCACTGAGGGGTGTGCAAGAACTCCGAAGGATGCTTATCCTATGCCTAGGGAAGTGACTGGCTTCTCCACCGCCAGCAATAAATTGTCTTCTGAACAACGCAAAAATGCTTCAATTAAACCTTTCCTGGCTAGTGTGATTTTTAGATTCCTTTTAAATAAATCTGCTGGGAGCTGTCCATGAACACTAAATATGAACAGTCAAATCAAGATATGCAAATACTTAGTAATAAACCTTTTCCACTGTCATTTTTAATTAAAAAAAGTTATTTTTTTAGGCGGATAATTACAAATGACTACATTACAATGGTGACCTAATAAGTTGTGAAGAGTTCAAACATAGCAATTTGCTTTTATTTTCTTTGACCACAGTAAAACTATTTTCCGAGCTGTGTTTGCAAAGTAGTAATGGTTACATAAAGATTATAGGGAGAAATCAACGTAATTTCTTCTGCATAGAGAATTGATTTTTATGAAAATTCACTTATGTGTAGAACACTTCAGAACACCAACTGTACACGTATGATACACATTAAAGTCTGAGCTCATTGACTACAAACCTATAAAATGGTGTCTGGTACTATGATACCTACTATTTTTGCATCAAATACATGTAAGATGGTTTTAATTTTGATTGATTCTGTACTTTATTTCTCGATTGAGTGCCTGCAGGAGGATAGAGAAGCAGGTTTTTAAGGGTGATGTAATTTATTTGTATTGTTCTTGTGTGATGTCTGATATACAGGTTTGAATAAACCCAGAATTCTGCATCGCCATGGATCAACAAGTAGAGGAAATTACTTTTTAGAAAGTTATACCCTATTGTAATCCTTTGCAAAACCTGGTTTATTACAAAAAATGAACAACAAATCATTTTTCATTTGTTGTAATATGTATCTAGTTTAATTTTTTGGAAAATGCTAAATTATCAATCGGTTGTTAAATGTTGTATTGATCATTAAATTGAACTGTTTATATCCAGTTAAACATTAATTATTTTACTTAAACTTCCTTGAACGCTTTTGGTATGTTCCAATAAACACTTGAATTGGATAACTTGGGAGTAATTTAAAATTTAGTAATTTATTTAGATGACACCATTTTATGGTTAATAACTGCCATCTGAACCACTTGATTAGATTACAGCCTTGAAATCACTTCTTGATTATTGTATGATTCATATATAGTATTCATTTTACATTGTCGGTCTAAATTAAGCTTGGGTGAAATGAGTAGAAATAAATTGTAAAATCGTCCGATATTTCAATTCCTACCTTGGCTAGACCTCTTTCCTTTGTAGGAAAAGGTTTTGAACAGATTTACAGAGGCATTTTCATGCCTATAAATTCCACTGTTTTGCTTTTCAGGAAGGAAAAGGCAGCCTTGCAGTTCGCATGGCTCTGGGTGAAACACAGATTGTGCAAGAGACTAGACTGTTCTTAATTGATAACGGAGTTAGCTTGGACTCCTTCAGTCAGGTAAGACAATCCAAATAAATACAGCTGACACTTCAGACAAGTGTTAATAACTATGTTGATTAATGCATTAAGTAGAAACATTAATGTATTTTTTGCTCTGTTGCTGAAGCATGCAGTAATTAATCTCTTGTCCAGCAGCCTGAACATGTTTTCTATCAAGTACAGTTGTTGGAAAAAGAGTAAAAAAAAATGTGGTTCTTCAATTGACTATTTAACAACAATTCTCTATTTTATCCAAAATAATCCATTTTGTTGACTACTGGGTGTAATTCATAAACCCAAAGACTGAGCTCACTTTTCAAAAGCTGAACTTGCTCTATTGGTGCAAAGTGAAAATAAGGTGTTTCAATATGTTGCTTTTTCTGCTCTCTGAAAGTAACTGGAGAAAAGAATAAATACTAGAAATTAAATCTTTTTTGAGGAAAGTGCAAACGTTGAGTTTTCAATTATTCTACCCGTGTATTACATCTAACTCCACTGCCTAGTTCATTTGATGAGAATATTGAGTATTGACCGGTTTGAATTTGGCCTTTAAGAAAGTTTGCGCATCATCCACATGTAGCTTCTGGATATGACTAGTGTGTGTGTGTGATTTTTTTATATATAACTTGTAAAGTGGGTGAAAAGCAAGGGTGGGGTATGTTGGAGTTTCAGCATGTTCTGTTTGCAGCTGGTGAAGATCAAAGCAAAAGCTACAATATTTGTTAGTGATTAAAATACAGCAAGGCGTTTCGTGTTTTGAAGTATGCAGCATTGTCTACTTTGGATCTATTTGTTTTAATATTTTCTGCTTGTGAATTATAGGCTGCTGGGCAGAGAAGTAAAAGTGTGATCCTTGTAAAGAATATCCCTGCGGGAACCAAAGTGCAGGAACTGGAGAAGCTCTTTGCCCAATATGGAGATCTTGGGCGGGTTTTGCTTCCAGGAGCTGGCGTAACTGCTATTGTGGAATTCTTAGAACCTACAGAGGCCAAACGAGCATTCACTAAGCTTGCTTATTCCAAGGTATGTCCTGCATGAATACCATTAGTATGGGATAAACAACCACCTTTGTTTTTGACTAAAGGTTTATTGATACAACACAATCTTTCAGGTTCCGGCCACCACTTTATGGTTGCAATTCTAATGTAATCTGTCGTGAGCTTCAGTACAAGTGTACAGCAGTAAATTTGAAAGCCTCATTTTCAGTTTAGACAGTCAAGTTTGCTGTGATGTCGGAACTGAGAATGGTGGGCAAGAACAGTGCAGTGTTCTCCGTAGTGTGAATGAAGGTCAAGGTGTTCCTGTTTATTTTATACTGACCTATTTATCCAGAATTCAGTGGTTAGTAATTATCACGTTTTAACATCTTGTATTCAGCCACCGTCATCTTCTCACAAAGTTGCTATTAGTTTCAATAAAAAAATTAAAGATGGTGACAGTAGCATGAAGGAGCAGAGCAATGACAAATTCTCCAGAACCAGTGTTTAAATTGAATTAAAAATGGAGTGTTCGGGTGATGTGTAACATAATTAGAAAATGTACTAAATGACCTAGCGAGATAAGTAAACTTTCTAGATGACAAAATCAAAAAAGGAATAGAAAGCGTCAAATCACTGAAAATAGAGCTTGAAAATGTCTCAATAAGATTATAATATGTCCAGTGTTCACTTTCAGATTCTGCATGTATTTACTGCTGAATATTTTCTTTTATTCAGCTGAATACAGCAAGAACAACAACTTGCATTTATATAGCGCCCCTCACACTGGATAGCATCCCAGACCCATATCAACAGTGGCAAAGCACAACGCTGAGCTAGGGGAAGGGGGGAGGTCATGGTCAAAAAGGAAGGTCTTCAGGCACGACCTGAAGTTGGGTAAGAAGAGGGCAAGGCAGAGGGATAGAGGAAGAGTGTTCCAGAATTTTGGGGCGTTGTGGCAATTTAATTCAGTAATTAAATCATGAGATGTTAGGAACCACCCCAAACAAATCTCTGCTTTTTACCCTCAGTTTCAGCATGTTCCACTGTATCTAGAATGGGCCCCTATGAATGTGTTCTCCACTTCACCACCAATACAAAAAAAGAAGGAAGAATCAAAAACAAACAATGAAGGTAAATATTTCCTGGAAACATACACTGTATGTACTTCAAATGCATTTGGTTTGATTTAATTTGACCGCTTAAGACTGGGTTAAGACATTATGCACTGTTCCTGTCAGATCATTCAAATTCTTTTGATAATTATTTTTAAACTTTTGCAAAACGGGGATTATCTATGTTGTCTCATGTTAAAATGACAGATGTGACAACTTGCATGGAGCAACTGAAAGCATCCTATTAAAATAGGACTGCTACTATTTCTTTTCTAAAAAAGGAAGTGCTTGGGAATGACCAACCGAGACATCCGACGTTTACTCTGGAGTCACTAGTTTGAGGTAGAACTGTTGCAGCATTTATGAGAGCAGCCCTATGTCAAGACATTGATTGTGACCTTCAACATATGTATTTAGCTCTTAACCAGATTTCATCTCTGTAGGTGACGTATTGTTTCCATGCCACTTATTCATATGCACGTATACAAAAGGCCTTTTGATTGCACATCTCAATACAAGTGTATGTATGAAAACTAATTTTATAGCACACCCAGTGCTGTGAGTTAACTGTTTGACAAAACATAGACTTGCATTGCTTTCCAACACCTTTGAAGATGAGGTAAAAGATTCAACAGAAATTGAAATTACTAATCTCTTTTGGGATATTTATGCTAGATTTTCCTTGTATTACACAAAATGACTTAAAAATGGGCATGGGTAGCAAAAACGAAAACTATAAACTAAGTTTCTGTTCAGTAATGTTCTGGCTGATTGATGTGTGTATTGAGGATGTGTTCTGAAACTAAGTAATATGGAGGAAAAAGTTAATTCCCCAAGAGGCAACGTGGTTTGGGTAAAATGGAGAAACCGCTGGGTTATATGTATTTTGTAGGCAAACCTATTTGGTTTGTGAAGTTCTCACTTTAATAAGTTTACATGTTTACAATTTCTATAAAATGAGTTTGAAAATTCAGTTATTGATCTTTGTGACTAAAATTTTTAATGTCATAATGATCAAATCTGTCTCTAAACTTTCTCCAAAGGGAATTTGTAAGAAACTATTTATTTTTCCATAAAGAGATTTGCCTGGCAGGGCTCCTCCAATTTAAAATAAATATTTTTAAAACATTTTTTATATAACCCCCCCACTGTTTATTTACATTCTTTGCGACCAACAAAATAGTTAAGGTTAAATGATCATCTTAAGGTAACTATGTGATACATATTGTACTACACTTTTGCTTACGTTGTACTTTACGATGTTAAACACTGAGGCAGCTATATACTTTCAGAGACATCTGAAATCAAAATGTTGATCTTGAGTGGTCATTAAATGCATCCTCCACCTTCTAGGACACTACAAGTGTACTTTTTTTTCCTGTTCTACTTCACAAATAGCATTTGTTTCCTGCTCTACATTGTATGCTGAAGTCTTTTTCTGTGGACCTGCTTATCCTTCGCCCCATGTGATCCTACAGAAGCTGAACAAAGGTTCAGGCTTAAAATTGGGCTAAAGAGTCATAACTTCTTGTTATAGATTAGTTTTCTTGGTTGGTAGTGCAATCCCCATTTTTGTTCTGAAGAAATTAAGTGTGTTGAAACACTTTGCTAAAGTTTTTATGTTCAAGAACTACCTGCTTTTTGGGAAGGTTGTAATCCACAGTGTGCCAATGCACCTTACTCCTACATAGACTACACTGGCAAATGGCCTGGCAAATATTCAGGAGAATATTAACATTTCAAGAGTCTATTAGACAACACAATCTTTAAGTAGCTGCTGTGGAAAGCTTTCAGAGAGCTAGATTTATTTAAATAATGTGATACAGTCCTTTTTAAAGTAACTGGCGCGGAACAATAATTAAGTTTATTGGAGTCGCCTTATCTTTTTCCACATACTGTTAATAGATTGAAACTACTGATCAGAAAAAGAATAAAATGATTTAATGAACAAAATCCATTCCTAACGAAACTAACTAAAGAGCAGCTGTGATAATGTGTGACCTTCGAGACCCCTATAAATGGCTTATAGCCTTTTGTCCTAAGCAAATACTGTGAATTAATAATTGTTTTGTGGCTGCATAGGTTGCTATGATCCCATTTCAGAACATTCAGCATTAGTCAGTACAGAATATAATTTTTCTGATATTATGATGAGAATTTAATACTCTAAAGGAGTGAAGCATTACATTCCTTATCAATTTCTCTTGAGATCTTTCCAGCAGAGATCATGCTGAAATGTATATCTTTGTGTTTTGCTTAAGGAATATTTATGACCAATCCCATAATCTTGCCCTGCAGTTTCTTCCAATCATTAATCTTCATTTTAATCCAGGTTTTAATTTTGCTTCCAGTGTTTTCTTATCTAAGTGATATTTTCAGTTGTGCATTTGAAAAACCTGATGTGTTGCAGGTTTATTGCCCAACTATAAATGCGTGTTTTTATGAAATATCCCACATAACTTTTGTAATCAAATTTTAAGGCCCCAAAATTGGGGGGTAAAAAAGAAAATAATGCATTTCAAAAGGATTGTTTCAGTCATCTGAGAGAATAATGTGAAACAAAAAACACGGTGTCTGTTGTCCAACATGACCCAATTCTTACTGTATAAGCAGTACATATCACTGCATTATATTAGTGACAGGCTAATACTAGTCCCAATGCTCTCTTCTTTCTTGTTCAAGGACATGACTCATTTTGAACTTTCATGGTTTTTTTTCATACATATACGAGGCTGCAATAGTGGCCTTTGGGGGAGGTGAGCCTTGAGCTTTGAGACTGAAAGCAGCAATGCCAATCTGGCTACTAGTCACTAGGGAGCTATTATCTTACTGTGCCGAGACCCAGGCCCTGTGATAATGAACTTCAGGGGAATGCTTAGCGAAGGCTGCAGTTCACTGATAATAGCTTTTGTTGTGCAAGATGTGCTTTGCATGCAGAAAACCACAGAATTTTGTAGCTCAAGAATAATGTAACTGCTTTTTGCTTTGCGTGACTGCATTTTATCGTGCAAGCCACAGATGGAGGTGCATTTAAATCTTTTTGCTGATGGATTAACTGTCAATGATTTATTAATTTCCCCTGAGTTAACAGAACCCTTACTTACTGAATTTAAACAGACATACATACTTCAAATTTTCTTTGGTTTGAGAAAAAAAAATGAGCAAAATTAAAAGCACTCAAGTCTTTGATTGTACCTTTTCATTTGAAATTTTAACATAAGCACATCAAGTGAAAAGGTGACTGGATTTTGTGTGGTGTGTGTGTGAGTGATAGTAGAGCAGAATCGTATTTGTTTAGGGGAAATGGGACTGAATATGTTTTGCCCTTTATATAAATCTGTGTGTGCCCTGCAAGAAAGTATTTTAATTTGCATTAAAAATTATTGTATTACGACGTGCCTGACAAGGTCATACAATAAAATAGGTTATCGACCTTTGTATGGTTTTATGACTAAGGTAACGTCTCACAGGAGGAATTGATTCAGTCAAGGTCATAAACCTAAGCCAATTGTATTTGAAATATACCATCTAAAATATGTTTCCATTTTATGATTTATTAAATTGATGTGCAGTGTGAAATTGCAATGAAATGTTTATCAATTGAAAACAGTAGGAAGTATAACTGATTCTGTACAAGACTAGGTTTATTTTAGGCACAAGGCAAATTGAAGTATGCAAATTAAACAAAGTACATTGCTCATGAAATGTTATAGTTTTGTTCCTTTAAACAAGCCTCCAATTTTGGTGAGTAAACTTAAGGATCATATCTCACTGACTGATTCTGTGGTTAGTTGGGTTCCTGTTTATGATCACTGTCCAATGACCCCCAACTGTATGTACCATCACCATCAAGTGAAACTATGCTAAGCATTAATCAACACCTTTTGGAGGGAAAAACAATGTGAGAAGTGACACAATATAGCTCTGAACTCCACTTGTCCTCAAAAACGTGGATGTAAGAAGAAAATAGTGACCTGTTTGTGCACTTTTTTATTTATTCACATTAATGATTATGTAGACCTTGAAATTGTCATAGCAGGGAAGAAGTGTTAATCTATGAAATGTTTGGGGGTTGTACCAGTGCAAATGTTTCCAAGAAAAAATAGAAATTATAAAACATTACAGTATGTCGGCACATTTTAGATCCAAGAATTCCATTATTTTTAGTCGACTCTGATAGGAATTTTCTCAACAGGTTTTTGTTGGAAGTATATGTTAAACTTTTTCCCAAATATACAGTGTGTACACTCCAGGTGATATTCTAACAACACTGTAAGGACATGTCATTGATGTAAAGTTCCTCGACATTTGCATGTAGTTCATCTATAAAACAAAACAATAATAAATTGGTCATTTTCAAGACTGTTTGTCGGACACTGCTGTGCGTAATTGGCTGCCGCGTTTGCCCCACAAATATACGGTCAATTCACTTTACAGCATATTCTGTGAAGCACTTTGAGACGTCTAGAAGACGTGAAAAGCGCTATTTCAAATGCAAGGATTATTATTATTAATGGAAACGGGTAAGCATTCTTAACATTACTTGGATTCTTTTTGAGCAAAATTTGCAGAGCCCTGAACTTGATGTTGAGTGCAAATGAATACAGGTCTTGCATTGATTGAAGCATTATTTTATAATTGTACTTGACATTGGACATTCATATCACTAAGAGTGTCAAAGTCTTTTGGGTGAGGAAATTCTGCTAAGAGCAAGGATAGCGAAAATATGATGGGAAACCTGTAGCAGAAAGGACTTGGCGGAGAGAATGCAAATGGTGAAATCTGACTTTATTTCCCAACCTTAATCAACCTTTAATAGGGGACTGTCTAACCATGTTACTATCTGAACCTGAGGATGTATAGATTTGACTTTTATGATTGATATAAACACAAAGTGAACACATACAATGATAATCGTGAGATTATAGACTGAAGTGGAACAAATTGAGGTGAAGAGAGAGGTGTAGATTGACTACTATTTGCATCTTCTTCCAAAGTTGCTAATTTTATAAATTTTATGCACGTAATCTGATATTTTATACAAGATGAACCTCACTAATGTAGATATATTGCACTTGTGAAAGAATCTCATGCCTGGAATTGTTTCCTCATCATTGTAAATCTGCTATTCAAGCATCTTCTGGCAGTAATACTGAATTTGTGGTTGCTGTGCATAACTGAAGCATTAAGGATAGCCTTTTGGACAGCCGACATTCAGTATTGAATATTCATCCCAGTTACCTATTTATTTTCTCCACTGAAAAGCTAATCAACTCTTTATTTCTCTTTTTGTGGCACATTGTGTTTTTGACTGTGCTGAATATTGATCTACCAGAATCAGTAAATTTCCTGTTTGTTGGTAATTATTGACCACGTTGATTTTCACACAGTTATTGACAGGATGTCAGTGCCTTGCTCAATGTGTTGGAATTGTGTTTCATATTTATCAACTGCATTTATTTTGCTTTGATCATAAACAGATTAACTTTCAGGCTATTGTGCATTACCAATATTATGAGCACACTCTTCCTCTATTCCTCCGCCTTGCCCTCTCCTTCCCCATTTTCAGGTCGCTCCTGAAGACTTTCCTTTTCGATTGTGTATATGGTCAACCGCACCCCCCCGGCTCGGTGTCAGGCTCCACCACTGTCGAGCGCTCTGTGACTCTACCCTGTGTGAGGGGTGCTTTATAAATGCATGTTGTTTTTGTATATTTTGTAATTGATGCTCATTTAAGAATAGCAAAGGTTAATATAATAAGAATAACTTCATGTTTTATGCTTTGTAGGAGAGGAGCAAAGTGATCAAACATCAAATAAAAATGAGACCAAAGATATAAGTTCTGATGAGGAAGAAGAAACCATACCAGGATGCACCATATTTATCAAAAACCTAAACTTTTCAACAACTGAAGAAGCTCTGAGCAAGGTAAATGTTCTTGCTAGTTATGGATAGGAATGATATTGGTAATGCACATTGTGATATAAGAGCTTCCATTTTTTCATACTAAAAATTTTAGTCCTCTTAAAGTTGCTTTATTTAAGTACCGACTTTGTCCATTTAAGTCACAGATCTCTGTAATGCTGTAGAGGATAAACTATACACTGGAGCAGGCAGTAGCCATCAAGTGGACTAGACCTTATGTGGCTTGCAGCTATTTTGAGTCCAGAAGCAAGAGGGAATTTATAACTTAGGACTAAACTATAGCATCACTGACTGAAGTTGCTGACTATTAAGTAAGGCCATGTTTTTGTTAATGCCCATTGCAAATAAGTGATGCAAATGACAGGGAAAATGGGCATTAACAAAAATGTGTCCTTAGATCTACACTGATCTGTTGTGATTATTGTGATTGCTGAGCAAAGCAGCTAACTGTCAGCTAAATAACGTTTTCATCGTTACAATGTTCTGAACTTCAGAGCTTTTTATTCATATTGGATGTGTGTGTGGCCTTCGGCAAATAGCATTTAGTTTAGTTAGGATTAATACTATAATAAATCTGTTTGTAATGTTCAAATAGCCGTAATAGTATTTTCAGCCCCAGTGTGTGAGCTAAAAATGTACAGAAGCGCTTTGCCCAAGGAGATAGCATGCTTCCTTGACTTACAGATATTCTTTGAGTGTTAGCATGTTCTAAATAACTAGTGCCATGTATTATAGTGAGTAATTTGAGTATGCTAAAGGAGATTTGTTCTTGCAGCAGAGACCCAACAACCCAGAAGTGGGTCTGGCAGCTTTTTTATTTTGTGGTACCTTTATAACATTGGGTCCGGTTTTATGGTTCCCAAACTCCCACATTATAATGGGATTGAAAGTTTGGAATTTCTTCTACTTGGAAATCACGAAAGCAAACATTTGACCATGCAGTGGTAAGCACTATGAATACCACCCTATTTTCTTCCCAGCACATACCAAGTATAACTGGCATCCTCTAATCACCTTAGAAGGGGCAAAGTAGAGGGAAAGGGGTTTTAACGTAGAAGTTAATTATTTAAGCAAAAAGTATTTTATAATTGTAATCAACGCAATTTTGAAGTACTCCCTGTAGAAAAGGGTGCAAATCTTTTGATGTTAAAGGCAGTTATGGTTCACTCACATTTTTAAGAAAATTTCACTGATAAGTGAAACTAAGGATGCGGCACAATAAAGCTTAAATAGTTTGAATCCTCAAGACATTATCCCTCATTCTCACTGCCCTGCCTGGTGTCTGACTGAATGTTCTGCATTTGACCGGATTAGCTACAAACCTACTAAATCAACTTGACAAGCTTTGTTTAATTCAGTGAGTATTTCTAGATTTAATTCCCTCTGTGGGTTTTTTCCCCCCCCTTTTTTGCTTTGCCTCCTTTTGTTCTTATTTCTGATTATTCAGCATGGCATCTGAAGTGTTATCTAAATCTTTTACAAACAAATAATATTTGAAAGGTATTTCAAATATTATACGCGCCATGACCAGCACTGCCTACCACCACCTCCGCAACGTGCCAGACTCCGCCACTGCCTCACTCCTCAGGCTGCTGAAACCCTCACCCACGCATTCGTCACATCAAGGCTCAATTATGGAAACTCCCTCCTCATCGGTTTTCCCAACTCTTCTCTTCACAAGCTGCAGATCATCCAAAACTCTGCAGCTAGTGAACTCTCGCACACCAGGCTCCGTGACCCCATTACTCCCATCCTCGCCCGACTCCACTGGCTCCCCATCTCTCAGAGAATCGAATTCAAGATCCTCATCCTCACTTTCAAGGCCATCCATGGCCTTATCCCCGCCTACCTCTCTGACCTAACTCCCTACCAACCTGCCCGCTCTCCTCCATTCAGCCTGTTCCATGTCTCCCGCCCGACCCGCCCTACTATCAGTGGCCGGGCTTTCAGCCTCTTAGCCCCCACACTCTGGAACTCCATTCCACAGTCCCTTCACCTCACTTCCTCCCTTGCCTCCTTCAAAGCCGGTCTCAAGACCCTCCTCTTCAATTGTGGCTTCTATCGCCCTCCCACATCTCTACCTTCCCTCACGCCTTCCCCATGCTCGGGTCCTGGCCCCTGACTGTCCAGCGCCTTGGGACGTCCTCCTGACATGAAAGGCGCTCTATAAATGCAATTTTTTTGTTGTTGTTTCACTCTGTTGTAAGTTTCAGCCCTAGTATTATGGAGTCAATTCACTGCATTTGTTTTTTTTAATGAATTTGAGCATTTAGTTCATAATTAGCATAGGTTCAAGAGAGAACTGTGAAGCACTGAAGAGTTGCTAAATTTGGCAATATTTTTTATGGGAGAAAAATGTACGATCTATAACAATTTGTGATTGTACAAACTATCTGCTGACTGTTAGCCAGAACCGTCCTTTGCTAAACTTGTGGAAGTCAGGCTAACAACTGGACACAGGGGTTTTACCAAGGGATCCAGTTCAGTCGCACTTTAGGTACTTACAGGTCTTGTAGCTGTATGGTGTAGATAACCCATTTTGTTAGTGCTATCAAATGTATGATGTGCTGTCATTCGCTGCACTATTTAAGAGGAATAATGGCAACATTTAAAGAGAACACTCCTTTGACTCAGTATTTATGACATTTGTAGGGAACACTTTTGTCTGTTTTATTGACTTGATTATTCAGTCTTTGCAACATTATTTGCATCCTATGATACTTTGGTGAACAAAACTACTGTTTTGATTTGAATCCAGTTCAGATTAACGAAACAAAAATCTCTGTGGACCAACTGACTGTAGGCGCTTTTGAAGTTGAAGTGTATTGTTGCAACTGTTGACCTCTCTTAATCCATTGAAACCCCAGCAGAGCCATTTGTCACCTTGGAGTACAAAAACTTCTATCCAAAAGATTGAAGAAAATATATCACTTGCTGCTTGACCATAAGAACTCTCCTAAATTGTTTTTGGTTTCCCAAAATGTCTGATTAAAGTGTAAGTTTTATGTCTTGTGTAGATGTTTCAACAGTGTGGACCATTGAAAAGCTGCATTATTTCAAAGAAGAAGGACAAGACGGGTAAACTGTTTTTGTGCATTTAACTTTTTACATTAAAGAGATAAACCTGATCTCAAGAGTTTCACACAAAATAGTCTGATTTGCATAGCCTATCATTTGTAATGGTGGCTGAATGGCTTTCTTTTGTGCTAAAAAATATTCTATTGTTTCAAGAATTGGTTATGACCCATTTAGTGAAATCAAGGGTACTTAATACCAAATTTACTAGAATGCTATTTTTAATCTATTGAGTGGCAATACAGTACAATACAAATTTACAGTTATAAAGGGCCTTTCGTGTCAAGAGCATGTCCCAGGGCACTGGGATGGAGATAACTCAAAGGTTAAAAAGACAGATATAGAATCATAGATTTTACAGCAGAGAAGGAGGCCATTGGGCCTATCGTGCCTGTGCCGGCTCTTTGAAAGAGCTATCATCAACTACAACAACAACAACAAGATTCCATTTATAAAGCGCCTTTCACGTCAGGAGGACGTCCCAAGGCGCTGCACAGTTGGGTCATGACCTGAGCAGGGGGGAAATGGTCAGGGTGAGGGGAGGGGAGGGAGCGAGGAGGGGGGAAATGGTCAGGGTGAGGGAGGGATGGGAGGGAGCGAGCGAGAAGGGGGAAGAGAGTCGAGAGGGGAGCTGAAGGCTCGGTCAAAGAGAAACTAGTCCCACTTCTCCACTCTTACCGCATATGTTTTGAAAGTATTTCTAGTTTGCAATAAAAAGTTACTTAATATGAACCGTTAGGTATGGGTATTTTCCTCTATCTGGTAGCAGGAGAAGAAGAGGGTTGCATTGTGAACTTGTCGGGCAGACCTCAGTATTACTTCATCTTACGCTGGATGTTACGAGTGACAAACAGCTATGATACTGAAACTCGTGAGTTCTGGTCGGGAATAATGTCTAACCTTTAGAGTTATCTTGTGCTGATTTTGTATTTCTGATTCATTGTGCTCTCTAGGTTCTCTTTTATCAATGGGCTATGGTTTTGTAGAATATAAGAAGCCAGATTGTGCTGAGAAAGCATTAAAGCGATTGCAGGTAACCAAGCAAATATTGTATTGGTGGAACAATATTTGTCATTTTCATTATTTGATGTACTGAATGTAACTGAAATCCTTTAGGTTCTATAGACAGTTTTTTTTTAAAAAAGTATACCTGTAACAAAAGTTGTGCTTCAAAATGTTATCATTCATTGTAATGAAAGTTTGCTATGTCTAACTCTTATTGTAAATACGAGAGTTGTAAACTGATATTGACAATCAAAGGTGGATTTTTTTAAAAAGAAAGAATGCAATACTTTTATTTAAAGTATACTAAAATCTTCACCATTTCCCTATAATATATTCTTTTTTTTAAATAAATAGCCCCATTACAAATCTTTAAGTTTACTTTCTTTGTGTCACACTGATCCTTATGGGATTTACCTGTATTTGTTTCCCCCTCAGCACTGCATGGTGGATGATCATCAGCTGGAGCTAAAGATATCAGACAGAGCAACAAGGTATTTGTTTTAATCCATTCGATGTTTTGGATTGCTTCTGAATTATGTCAGTTATGGCTAGTAAGTTTCCATCTAATCTTCCCAGTTCATTGACCAAAGCCTTCCCTATATGGCTTCCATTCGTGATTCTTACCAGACCCATTGAATTTATCAATAGAACTCCTCGCTAACCATAGCCTTCACTTTAGATCAGGTCCAATTGCATTAATTGGCTGTAATCAAAGCTTAACAATACTCATGAATGCATTGTATTGTCACAATTTAAAGATTTTAAGCAGTGTTAAAAACACCTTTCACTTACATTTCCACTAAAGCCAAATTATTGGCCAGAATTCTTCCCCATGATCATTAACATTTTCCTTACCACATCTCTTCAATACCTGTGTAACTTTAATCCTTATGATTTGTTTGTTATCCTTAATTGCACATTATATAAACTCTTGTGTTGATAAATCGTTGATACTTTGTTCTGATTCGATTCTTTGTGGTAGACATTAGTTGTTGGCAATTCTAGCTTGATAGATACGCCAGCCTTCAGAAATTCCAGTGCTACTCATTATTTCTAGAATTGGCAGTACACATAGTTGGCAAATATTAGATGCACTTCTCTTCTCTCACCAATATTTTGACTTGCTTTAAAGAAGAAACTGACTTGGTATCAATTACATTTCTAAGACCGACCACTTAAAAAAGAGGCTTTTGGAGTTGGTGCATATAATTGTAAATAGTAACTTTTCTAGCCTGTTAAAAACCCAGTATGACCATTTATCACCATGGAGCAGAACAGTTTGTTCAGAAGAATTAAGAAAAAAAATGTTGCTTGCCACCTGGTAAACAACAACTCATTTGAATTAAATTTGCAGGCACCCCTCAAAAAATGTAAGTAATAAATATAATCCTTGCATTTGTTATAGGGCTTTTCACGTCTTCTAGACGTCTTCGCAGAATATACTGTAAAGTGCATTGACTATATTTGTGGGTGAAACGTGACAGCCAATTGTGCATGGCAGTGTCCCACAAACAGTCGTGGATTGAAGTGACCAATTTATTTTTTTTGAGGGATTACTATCAGTTGTAATAATAATAGTAAGTTGTAGCCAAAGGGAAACAATTCTAAAAAGGAATAGATTATCTTGTGGTAGGTGAGAATTGTGTTTTGAATAAGGAAGAGCTGAAACAGGTCATGAGGGATTCAGTGCAAGAAGAACTAAGAAACTAATATGAAATCCACATTACATGCTGTGAGATTACTTTGTGTTAAGCTCGCCAAAGCTGAAAGTTACCCAAGGCTAATTGTCAACCAAGGTTTTCCAGTTCAATGTGTATTTATGTGTACTTTCTGTTACTGATTTTTCAAGAAAGCTTCAGCTTTCTAGCATTTTGCAAATGTTGCTGGAGAACTAGATTACGAGAAGATCTCAATTTTAATGCTTTTCACTTCAATAGTCTGCTTCTAAGAGGTAGAGCTTTGTCAAAATGGATCACTAGGACTTTCCTTATCCTAACCTTGGTTGTTCAGTGGTGGAGTTGACTCAGATCTGATACATGACCAAATGCTGAGGACAATCCCATTTAACAGATCCAGAAATTTCTGACCTGGTAAAACATAGCACCTGCTATGTTCTATTGCACACTTGTTGGAAGTGATGTCAGTGGCTCTGGATCAACTCCTTGGCCACCGAGAGCAGTTGCCCTATTAAAGTAAGAGGAGCTTACATGAGTGATGCCATCTTCCTTTTTCAATCACTTGGATCAAGTCACCTAGTTTAAGCACCAGTTTTCAATAGTGTTAAGAGTTTTTTATTTCCTGTATTTTCAGGCCTATGGTCACCTCAGCTAGAAAACTTCAAAAAGCAAAGAAGCAAAAAGTGTCCAAAATTCTGGTCCGAAATATTCCGTTCCAGGCCAAACCAAAAGAAGTCCGTGAGCTCTTCAGGTAAAAAATGTTCAATATTTCTCCCTGTTAGTTTCAGTTATTAAGATACACATGTGTCCAAGCATTTAGTGACTTGTTCAGAACACACTGCTAATTTGAAGGAGAAATTGATCCACGATAGCTGATGTCTATATAATGTATATTTGTAGTGATGCCTAATTTGGTTTGGGAGTTGTCCTACTTACTCAGAAATGTCTGTCAAAACTACAGCCTGGTTGTTGGGATGAACAAAATGCAGCATTACTAATACCATTTACCTCTGATCATGTCAGAGATCCACTGAAGAGGACATAGTTCAGTGCATTGCTAGCAATTTTATTCAACTATTATTAAAAAGGAAAGATTATAGTCTAGGTTCCTAAGGATGGTACTAGGAATGAGCAATTATAGGTACTGTTTCATAATGGTCTCTAATGTGCCTTAAAATCCTCATTTTTTTTTCACGTTTTGCATGCACTTTCAAAGCAGAAGGTTGATTTTAAAAATTAGTTAGGAATTCATAGAATTATGCAATCCTCCAATACCAACACTTGACCCCTGTAAGTATCATAAAATCTCATTTACACATTTAATCTAATGTAAGATTTTTTTAATTGAAAGTGTTTGGAGTATAGTGAAGCCTACATATTTCTGTGCAAATCTTAATACAGTTTTAATGTACATTTTAAAACTCGAACAAATAAGCATTTACATGTCTGACTATTTATGTCTCTGATGTTTGTCAATTGATTTCCCAAACCGTTGGTATTGATGTTCTTTGCAATGTGAACTTTTTGAATATTGGTTGCCCTTTCAGTTTTATTTAGTGGAGCATTGGTGTTGCGGTCTTCAATGGATTTATATTATGTCTTTCCAATAGACAAGTGTGATCATTTTTAAGATTCAATCTTGTTAATTAAAATTAAAGTAACAATTCATGCTTGTGGTACAGATATGAAGTAGTTTATCTCAAACTCTGTGTGTAGATCACATTTTATTAGGTTGCCATTAAGCGAACTGGAGATTTATTTTTGTGCCATCTTAGTTAATGGCTAATGACACTGTTCACAGTAGGACAGTTCATTTTTAACTGACTGGGGTATGCAAAGCACTTTTGTACAAACTGAATTTCTGCGTTAAGAGCAAGACTTTTGGAGGATTCCTTTGTGATCAAATCGTGATGAATTTTGTTCCTTGAGGTAATGAAATTATTCAGAAATAGCAATATGAATACTGAGCTTTAAGTCATTTTACAGAGGAAGCTGTTTCAATGCATGTTTGTTGGATATGGTTACAAGAATGTATGATGTGTATATTATAATGTCATTAGAAGGTTGTGTGATTGATGTTCAGAATTAATTCCATCAAATACTATACGCAATTTTGTAATTAAGCTACAGGATATTTTTTGAATATTTGCTCTTGTTTAAGCTTCTATTGTTGCGTGAGCTGAATAACCTGGTGCCCAAACTGCTGTTGTTTTTTTACTTTGGCCACCAGAGGGCACAATAAGCCTAGCGGGTGGATTTGAACCAAACCCGTTTTCCTCCAGTCAGTTAGTTTACAGTGCAGCAGGAAGCAGCTCGAAGACAGTTGGAAAGGTTTAGATCCAATACATGTTGAGTTAAGGCTGAGTAAATGAATGATGAGTTTGGGGTTTTTCACCATTCACCAATCAGATTAGACTTGAACAGTTTCGAAATGAATGGAGAAAGGGTCAGAGACCTGAAAGCCAGGAGGACAGTGATCAGCATTGTGATGGAGCACTGCTGCACACCTTTACTTTTTCATGCAGTAAGTTCCAAATTTCACCTGGGGAAAGAATCAACTGAGGCCGTGCGCTTTTCTGAGGATGAGATGGAAAAAAATCATTGGTTCACTAATTTCTGGCTGCCTTTGCTCATCTCATCCTTCAAGTTTACAGAGAAGCAGAAGAACTGGGTTAGACTATACTAATGGAGTAGTAAACCTTAAGGGTGGAAGTTTTTTAATAATATATAATTTATAAAAAGTTGGCCTTTGAGACTTGAAACCAGCATTACTGTCCTCTTTGGATTTTCACTTTGAGATGACTAATTCACTTACTAACTGTAAAAATATTTTCATGCATTAATACATGAGTAATTAGTGAGTATAGCAACATTTTTTAAAATCCATGTGACTGGGGCGTTGATGGCTCAGCAATAAGTGTTAACACTATTATTGCTGTATTAGCAAGCAATACCCTAATTTTCCTTCTCTGCTGGAAGTCTGCTAGTTTGATTGTTAGAAGTCTATTTCCAGCATGAGCATCCTGTTTTTCCAATTATTTTGTTGTAATGTTGGTGTTAACGGGCATTAAATTGACATACTGCAATTTTTTTCCTATAGGATATTTGTTTGTCAGGTTTATTGATATTTTAAATTGCAATCAAAGGAAACCTTTGTTTATTTTCTTGGAAAAAAATTAATCCCTCTAGTGGACTTTGCTACCACTGCATTCCTTCATTAGTCTATAATCAGTAAAAGGCATTGGAAGAAAGTTCTCGCTGTATAAACGTCTCCTTGTCATGGAACTTATGCCTGGATTAGACTGCTTCTTGCTGAAACCTTGTGGTGGAAAAAACAGCACAGTGTTTGACCAAGGTCAACTGGAGACCATCTTGAAGAGATTTTTCTGGCAGGATTTTGATTTTTCATCACTGCAATATAAATGCAGCCAATATGAATCAATTCATGCTTCATCCCCAAATTGTCTGTTAAAATTTATAACTGATTTATGTAGTTAGCTCTTTAATAATATAAACTAACTGATGTGCAAGCCCAAAGCAAAGGCAATTCGGAGCGGGAAATTTAAATGCAGCTTCATGCTCTGAAATTACTGCTGCTGAAAACTGTATGAACTCAGCATTAAATTCTGCCTGCATTACATTAGTCCCATTTCTACAGGCGAAATATAAAGGTATTCAATCACAAAAGCAGCTGTTTTCCTTTCAAGTTGAATTTGTGTTTTAGTGCATTGTACATTTAGTGGTTGTAGCATTGAGGATTTTGTTTCAAAAATTCAACCAAAACTAGAAATCATCACAGAAGTGTAGTGAAAATAAAATGATAAACAAAAATTACATTTGAGGACAGAAATGTTGTTTGAGATTATTGGGGAATTGGCTTACTAAGGAAATTCTTTTGGCAAGCAAAAAAAAACACTGAAAATCGGTGCATTGGTAGCAACTTGTTCTTTTGCGAAGGGTGAGAAATACTTTCTAGGATTTCTTTTGGCATTATAAGTTTTGTTAATAGTAGTGCCATCACTGCTGGTTTGAAACGACACGTTATGTCTCTGACATGACACCTGATTATAAAAGGACTGAATCAACCAACTTGGGTCTGGGTGTTGAATACCCAGCATGCATTCTGCGATTTCTCTTCCTGACCACAATTCCCACTGGGTCAGTGTGCTCAGTTCTTCAGTATGTATGTCAGCTGTAGAGGATAATACCATATGTCATTGTCAAATGGCTGCTTTGTGAGAATTATTCATCAACATATGAAGCTGGTCATGATCTATTGTGGAGTTTCTGACCAAGTAATACTTTTTTGCGTGTTTGTTTATCAGTTGTGTGGGTGCATATATATTGTGTGTGTGTGTGTGTGTGTATATATATATATATATATATACACACACATACACACACACATGCAGGAAATTATTACAGGTATTCCAACATATTGTTGTGCATTACTAAACTGACTTTTTCATTGTGCTCCTCTCTCTTCATGCCTATTTGTCATTATCTTTTGAACAAATGAATTTATTATTTGCTCTTTTCTTTGTCATGTATGATTTTTGTTTCAAAATAAAGTGTTTTATTCCGTGGTCTCTAAGTCATATTATACCATTCACCATCACCAGAATAAAACATTATCTTTTCGCAAGACTCTGTAGCTACTTGCAAGGTGTACAAAACTACCCTAATTGTTGATCTGCACTCTCTCTGACTTTGCTTCTTTCTATAGTCAACTGCCTTTTCTTTAATCACCATTGGCTCAGATACCAAATATCAAAGACAACTGAAAATAAGAATCCACCATATACCATTAATTTTCTCCAATTTTCTTCCCTCTCCACAAAGCAATGGAAATCTCATGTAAGGGATAACTTGCAATTGCAGCCGCCTAATACCGCACCTAAATGGGCATTCTTCATGTGTGAGGCAAAGCTTTAAGAGCCAATAGGCTATTCAAGCACAGGTGGCATTATGACTGAGATTGTATGAGGTGAGATGGAATTGAGCAGTAGTCTTTATTGGCTACCCTGTCAAATTAACCCTGTTTTATTTGAATCAAACCACATGAATCTACATCTTTTGATCTGATACCTTAATTGTAACAGCAAAACAATCTTATACCTTTGGACCAATTGACTGCATAATGTCAATTCCAAAGAAACTGATACAGTGTATGGATTTTGTACTTTTTATGATTTTTACTCATTTCCTTCACCTATTTTTATTTAGATTGCCACATATTAAAATGTTGTGCCTTTATTGTACAAATTTAGCCAATTTAAAATCATTCTGATTGGTAATTAACAGCAGCAGACACACATCAAAAATATGTATTTTAAAGAAAAGGGATTGTTATCTGTCATTGTTTAAATTTCTTATGTTAAATTGCAAAAGATGAATGCCTTGTTTGGGAATAGACAAAGCTTTTATAATGCAGATATTTTAGAAATTATGAAGCAAGATAAACAAAAGTAGTAGATAAAATTAATTGGTGAGATTGAGCTAAATCACCAGATAAAAATTTTAAATGCAAACCAGAAATCGCATGAGTTGAAAGACCTTACTATCCTTGGAGTATACTCAGTAAGTGCTGATGAAATTATTTGAGGATGTTGCCTTCGTTTTGTCGTCAAACTGTCAGTCAGATGTGCAGTCAGCAAAGTCCTGATCTGACAGTTATGTTTTGCAGCTAACGAGATTTGCTAAGAAATCTTTCATTGTATTTAATTACCAAGTAAGTGATTAATTCGTTTT